AATTTTGAATGATTCACGTGTAAGTTCGTTTACTTCAATGTGAAATATCGTCTACTTAACAGAAACAGTTCTCTAGTTTTCGTGTTCCCAGTGGTATAGAGTCCAGCGCAATATCCGGCTATCGAAAGTGTTCAGATTTTGAATGACATCTGCACATAAAATCTCATACTTGAATGCGAATTTTTTTTTACCTAACTTTAATGGTACTTAAGTTATCGGCTTTTTAAGAGATTGGAAATAGAGTATACAACACTGCTCGTTATCGGAAATGGCTCAAATGTTTAGACAAAATAACTAATTTAATGTAATACTTATGTATGCAATTTTTTCAACATACCTATATACCTACAGCGGTACTGAACTTATCGTGTACACACACACAGACACACACACACACACGCACGCACCCACGCCCACCTACACCCACATACCCACACACAGACGGAAACGACTGCACAGCTAAGCTTTTCCGGCACCAGAAGGTTGAAAAACGTAGACGTTTGTCAAAGTTTGTGGTGAGGTGTAAAACCTAAAACTCCTCTTTAACTATTGTGTACAATTTCAATACTTTTTCTATAGAGTGTATACCAGAAAGTAAAAACGTTTTAATAAATAAGATCTTATTATTTAAAGCACTAAAAACTAGAAAATGAATGCTTTTTCAACCCAAAAAAATAACAATAATAAATCAACATTTTTGAAAACTTATATAGAATAGCGTGATTTACTATTTTATCTAGCTTTACTAAATTGTAAGAAGCAACCCAGCTATTCTTTACAAGTATTTTTTTTTAATTCATAAAAAGCCTTTTTAATAACAAGCTTTTGTGTAATAATGCACAAAACGGTAGAAAATAAATTATACACTACTATGTAAATAACTATAATAACTAAAATAACTATTTTAACCGTCGGCCTTCTGTCTTGTCGGCCTTTTGTCTTGTCAGCCTTTTGTCCATGTTGGCCTTTTGTCCGTATCGGTCTTTTGTCCATGTCGGCCTTTTGTCCGGATCCCCAATCCCCAGACAACTAGTTATTTCCTGACTTGTAGTAGCATTTATTAATTAAATAAATATTAGATTTTAAAAAGAATATGCTTTTGGTGTTGATAAAATTATATAAAAATTCACTTTGTTGCAGATATGTATTGGCACAATTACATTACCGTACCACATTATAGTGAGCAGGAATCGTGCATATAACCGACGCTATTACTTCCGGTAATGTTGGACCTAGTAGTATTGAATGGGATCAGTGGAGTTACAGGTAGGGTGCTATGGGTGGGGCCGCCTTGTGGAGGGTGGAGTAAAGATACCAGGGGCGACGCTAAATGAGATGTTTACATTTTTAGAAATAAACATCGCTATGAATAAAGAAAATAATCTTAATTCATCAAAAAGGTGACGAAGAGTTCGATGCAGGCATGACATGATACAACCTTATATGGCCAGGAAGTTGAAAAATAAAACTTACAAGCATTATGAGAAAACAATGAAGAGAAAAACTTCTATACCACCCAGGATTATTTATCACTTACAAAAACACTACCACCGAAACACTCAGTCTTTATGAATCGTATTCAAAATGAACATTCAGTTAAGGGCAAGCTGTGTCGCATAATATCAAAGACAGGCATCAAAACCACCATTCAGGTTTGATGGACTATGAAATGATTTTCAAGAGCTCTCACAATTGTTACCCCTATAGAAAAGAGTTGTCTATGAATTTGATGTGGGCGTAGTTTTGTTATTTAGTAGAGAATGGGACCAGCAACAGATGTTAAGTGTGCATACCACGTAAACTTGTCCAGCAGACATTAGACCACTTAAATGACCACACTCTACGTTTCTCTAAGTGAGAATTAATTAATTAATTAATTGCGATTACCCAGAGCGTTTATAAAGTAATTAGGCGAGTACGTGGATGCCAACACAAAGTGTCGAGTTGTAAACCTCAAGTTGATAAGGGTCGTTAGGTGCAGTGCTTCTTCGAGACTTTTTCTCCGAGGAGTCACTTAAAATTTTCCTGGGGGGGGGGGGGGAGACATACTTAAATTTCCTGGGTGGGGGAGGGGGCGGACACTGTTAAAAGTATATCTTTTCTATATAAATTCCATTTTGTTCGGGGGAAGAAACACTGCTTAGGTGGGACAGCAACAGCTCTTGGAGAGCGAACTCCAATATCAAACAAGAGTGGAAACATTATATTATATGATTCCCTTTCATGAGCTACTGTGACACAGCCGATGTCAAGTTGCACATGTGATGCCTCACATTTGGTCCCATCAGCTGTGTGGGCAGGTTTTCTCAAATTGTGCGACTGTTAAATTCTCTACAATTCACCTAAACTAACTGTGCATAATACCAGCTGTTACCTTGTGCTAATCTGGTTTATTGCTTAAAGCTTTTGGGTTAGAAAAACGTCACGGACTATTCAATGCCTTTAATGATCTTACCTGATCCGGAAAATGGGATTAAGAAATCAACGGAGACTAGTTAGGATATTTAGTATCAAAGGCTTTCATACGGATTTGGGTTGGCTGACCGGAATCGAGTCAGGGAGTCACTGGACATAAACTGGACGTCATTGTACATAAACTGGACGTCAATGGACATGAACTCCATGAATATAAGCCTCCAGAAATATACCAATGGATATATTCCTCCCCCCGGCCCGCAATCATCCACGAAACAATTTCAAGGGTTATAACTGATTTCACAACGCGAAAGAAATTCTTTGAGTTATGGGCCTTGACATTTGCTATTTGTTTTCATGTACAAAAAAAAAAACAACCTTTTAATAATCAGCCTTTCTTAAATGATGCACTAATATACTTGGAGTGATCTCCCCTAAACTTTCTCAAAAATTCTTATTTAACACTACGGGGGATGGCTACTCGAAAAATAGACATGTTTTTCAATCCATTTTTAATTTCTTTTAATTACGCCGAAAAAAAATGTGTATAATAGTGAGGAATATTATTAGTACTTTACAAATTTACATGCGTGTTTGAGAATACGGAAATAGTGTAAATTACTACTTCCAGTCAACGGAAATTACTCAAAATATGACAGATGGCAGAGAATTAGGTCTTTTACTTACATGTGAAATCTCATTTATCTATCGGAAACAGTACTCAAGTTATAGGCTTTGAAAAATTGAAAGTAGAATAAATTCCACTTCTAGTTATCGGAAATCGCTGAAAAGTAGATACATTTGATAAATAACATATATTTGAAATTTCATCAACCCAGCTGTAACGGTATTCAAGTTATCGTGATTACAGATACACACACATACAAATATGCAGATATAAAAATAAAAAGCGAAAGAAATATTGAAAAGACATTTAAAAAGCTAGAAATTATTATTTTAATTAGAGGGTAATGTAAAATTTAGAGGAAGCGAGGAAATAAAGAATGTTCAGACAACATTTGAGCACAGTCGTTTTAACACAAGCTTTGATTGTACTTGCTTCCCGGCTAAGTTTTTTTACAACATCTTGCAATTGACATTTGACTTATTTTTTAAGTACTGATTTGTTTATGCTAAACATACAGGTCAGACACTAACGGCCATGGCTGTTTTCTCCTATCAAATTTATCAAACGTAAATCTCATTTTTTTTAAATATGTTATTATTAGTATTAACTAAACGTATGTTGTACAATCAGTTACACATAATCAACCCATCACACAATCACATCATCAACCCATCATATCATCAACATATCACACAATCAACCCAACACACCCTCAGCCCTCAACCCATCACACATTTCGACACCATCATTTTAAGATCTTATCACCCAATCAACCCATCACACCATTAACATCACACCATCAACCCATCGCAATTTTACCATCATCAACCCATCACACAATCAACCCATCACACCATCAACCCATCACACCATTAATTAACAACACACCATCAACCCATCACAATTTTACATCATCAACCCATCATCAATCCTTCAAACAATCAACTCATTACACCATCAACCTTTATATAGATTAGCATTATTCTTTATCACATGTCGTGCTGTTCCCACCTGTAGGCGCATGACTAGCTGTGGCTGGGACACGAGTGCATGAATAGCTGTGGCTGGGACACGAGTGCATGAATAGCTGTGGCTGGGACACGAGTGCATGAATAGCTGTGGCTGGGACACGAGTGCATGAATAGCTGTGGCTGGGACACGAGTGCATGAATAGCTGTGGCTGGGACGCGCCATGACAAGCTGTGGCTGGGACGCCATGACTAGCTTTGGCTGAGACGCCATAACTAGCAGTGACTGGGACGCCATGACTAGCTTTGGCTGAGACGCCATAACTAGCAGTGACTGGGACGCGCCATGACAAGCTGTGGCTGGGAGGCCATGACTAGCTGTGGCTGGGACGCTATGACTAGCTGCGGCTGAGACGCCATAACTAGCAGTGACTGGGACGCCATGACTAGCTGTGGCTGAGACGCCACGACTAGCCGTGGCTGAGACGCTATGACTAGCTATGGCTAGGACGCCTGACTAGCTATGGCTGAGACGCCATAACTAGCAGTGACTGGGACGTCATGACTAGCTGTGGCTGGGGCGCCATGACTAGCTGTGGCTGGGAGGCCATGACCAGCTGTGACTGGGAGGCCATGACCAGCTGTGGTTGAGACGCTATGACTAGCTATGGCTGGGACGCCTGACTAGCTGTGGCTGAGACGCCATAACTAGCAGTGGCTGGGGGGGGGCATGACTAGCTGTGGCTGAGACGCCACGACTAGCCGTGGCTGAGACGCTATGACTAGCTATGGCTGGGACGCCATGACTAGCTGTGGCTGAGACGCGAGAATAATAACAGCTGTACAAAAAATACGGCAATCTCTTTTCATATGGAAGTACCACAATGAAAAATATTTTTCCGAGCCTAGTATGCGTGTCGAATGGGTCGCGCCAGGTAATCTTGATGATTACAACACATGTATTCAACAAGACGCGATAGGGGTAGAAAGCAGTGGGTTAGATCAACGGGTTTTCCAATTTGATTTGTCACCATTTAACTTGACCTTGTAGTGGTTGCATTTCAGTTTCCAAGAACTTAGGTAACCTACTTTAAAATTGAAAGTAATATAACGACAACGATTGGATAAACTCGACTGAATGAGAATTTCAGACTAGCGTTAGGCGTATCTAGTTTTCACCGATTCCAGAATCCAGTAGTGTGTTCATTTAACTCAGTTTGTGGAGCAGCTTGATTTAATTTCTTTAGAAAAACATCGTCTCAAACAGTCTTTTAGTGTCACTACAAGCAAGAAGGACACTTGAAGGTAAAGTAAATGTATCTTACAAATGTTTGACAAACTAACCGTTTTTCTTAAACTGGAAATACTACACATTCTTAAATGTGTCAAATGTCTTACTAACTTAAGAAACGAAAGTATATTAAACCAGTTGTTGTTGTTTAAAAAAATATGTGTTGTTAACTGACCCAGAAAAAAACATGATTTCGAAGGGTAAAGAAATATAGGCATCTAACTTACTTATTATTCATTCAAATCTAAAAATAAAAATCACACTTCTAAAAATAACTTTGTAACGTGAGAAAATACTTCTGTACATTTTCGTTATCTGTTTTTAGACGATCTCGAGAGCGCCCCTCTGCGTTCCTGACACTTGGGTGGTCACCGAATTGTTTACGGATTTACAGTGAGTGATTAACGTACACTAAAGGTTTTCATGCGGTAGGTAAACCCGCGCCCCGATAAACATGATTCAAGCGCAGGCATTGTTTACATTTAAATTTAAACTCAGTTTTAGAAAAAAAAAAAGGTCTCACGTCTAAGAATACAGGATTGGTAACGCATTGATGAAAATGCTTCTCATAAATTTTGTCAGACAATGCGCGGGGACGGGTACGCTAGTTATATAGACAGATCGATAGATAAACGAAATATATAATTTATCCAGTTCCCGCCACCCGGAGAAAAATGTTTAAAAGAAACACTGAGTGGTATGTTTAGAAGTGGTGGTCGAAAGTGTGTGTGTGACAAGGGGGTGGGTCGTGTACGGCTGGGTTAGATAAGACACTAAGATAAATCAACGGGCTTTCAATGTTATAATTGTTTACGACGTGGTCGGGTCGGTTAAGATCATGGTTGCTAAACTTATAAGTTCCGAGTTCTATGCAGCTAGTATACATAAATGTATATCAGAAGTATAAAATGTATCATAAATAACAACTGTGTACTGTTTCAGATGAATACCGCATGTCTCCTGCTAGCTGCATGTCTAGCTATGGCTGCAGCTACGACACAAGAAAGATGGGAGCTGTACAAACAAAAACACAACAAAAACTACCCGGAACATTTGGAGCGTATCAAGAGAGAGATCTGGAGATCAAACGTGGAACTTATAGAAAAACATAACGCGAGGTTTGCTCGTTCTTTGGAGAACTACACATTAGGCGAGAACCAGTTTACTGATGAGGTAAGAACCAGTTAACTGATGAGGTAAGAACTAGTTTGCTGATGAGGTAAGAACTAGTTTGCCGATCAGGTAAGGACAAGTTTACTTTAATTATTTAGTTATCCAGTTATCTAGTTCTTAAGATTTTAATTTTTTTATTTTTTTTTTTAGTTATTTGATTATTTGGTTATTTGGTTATTTATTTATTTAGATGGGTTTTTTTTTTTTTTTTATTAATTTTTTTAAAATTATTTTTAAACAGGTTTTTTGGGTTTTTTAATAGGTTTTTTTTTACCGTTTTATGGTGTTTTTTGTTTTGTTTTTTAGGCTTTAGCTTTTGAAGGATTGAATGATTTTTTATTTTAATGAAGAAATAAATGATCTCTTTACTTTAATATAGTTCGAATAATTGTATTTTACTTTTAAGTTTTCAGAATGAAACGTTAATGTCTTGGAATCTTTGGCGTAGCATGTTCTGCTTCTATGTCTTAAAGGAATCTCATAATTTCCGTCTGAACAATGTCATTTTTAGGACCCTTCGATTTTATACCAAGATAACGATTTCTACGAAGAAGATGAACCAACACACTGTTCCATGGTTTTCAAAAGAACACCAAATATCACATTGCCGGAAGCCGTTGATTGGCGCCCAAAGGGTTACGTCACACCTGTCAAGAACCAGGAACTATGTGGATCCTGCTGGGCATTTTCAGCAGTGGGGTCACTTGAGGGTCAGCACTATAAAGCCACGGGGAAGTTGGTCAACCTGTCGGAGTCCAATCTTGTTGACTGCTCAGCTGAATGGGGTAAATTATATTCGAACTAAAGCTTTAGTTCAATACATGAAGCAGAAAAGGCAAAATGATATTGTAAAATGCAGTAGAGCTAGTTAGAATTCGGGTACCAATTTAATTCTAAAATTACCACTGTACTTTGCTTACTAAGCTTTTTCTCGCACGCATAAGAAGGGCTCGTTGGCTTCACAAGATCATTCATTACCAGACTATGGCAGATTTGATCTCTGACTTCGTACGATGTGTACTTATTAGCCCCCGAAAGCATTACCAATCTACTAGGATAAACACACAAATGATAACTTATTTTACAAGTTTAATTTTTAAATTATTCAAAATGGATATTGTGTACACACTATTTGAGTCTCAGTTAAAACTATTATTTGATACATTTACAAAAAAAAAATTAAATTCTTTATACATTATATTAAAATGCCATTTAAAAGAGTGAATGTAAACGAATGAAACTTGAGGAGATGTTACTTGTACTTATGGACAAATGGAATACATTTTCTCACAGGTAACGATGGATGTGAAGGAGGCAATATCGACCAGGCTTTCAGATACATAATCGATAACAAGGGCATTAACACGGCTGATTCATATCCTTATACACCGAAGGTAACAAGTGGGTGAATTGGATCTAGTCTTGTATAGATAAACTGAACTTTTAAAATGGTATTAATAAATAAATGTGTCGCCCCAAAGGCACGTTTTGGTTGTTAGTTACGTGTGTGAGTACTGTTTATCATGCTGCTGTCAGTCTTCCTGTCCATCAGTTGTGCGTGGGTGGCGTAGTCATAACATTGTAGAGTTGTACTGACCGCTCGACGACAACTAACAACTGAATAGGCTACACAATCTCACATAACCTTAATACAGCCTGCATCCTTCACCAATCCCATTTAATTTAAAAATATAAAAACTTTAACTTTTAAATGTTTATTTAATTTTGTATTTTATTTTAACAATTTTATGATTGATTGAGATTTTGAAATGTTTATCTACAAATACAGAAATTTTAGTTCCCGTAAAACATTATACTCTTTGAGCTATTTCCAGCCACAAAGTTCACATTAACATCTTGCAGTACACTGCACCGCTACGTATTTTTTAAAATACAAAAACAAGACATACATAAATTTATAATTTTCATTTCATGTTATTATAGCGCGGAAGTTGTAAACCCCACCCCCCCCCCCCCTTAACCTCTCTCCAATAATTGCTAAAGTCTCCATCCCACTGAATAAAAGAATATTTCTCCGTTATTTTTGGTAGCAAGGACTATGCAAATTCAGCAAGAACTCTATTGGAGCCACCATGACAGGTTATGCCTGCCTGCCTGCTGGAGACGAGGACGCTCTGAAAGAAGCGGTTGCTACGGTGTGTTTATAAGTCAAGTTTAATAAAGTTGTGTGCAATTTTAAAGGCGTACACTTGTAATTTCCAAAACAATGAATTGATAGTATTTATCAGGATTAGATTAATACTTAAAACATAATCCTTATCCAGGTCGGGCCTGTCAGTGTGGCAATAGATTCAAGACCTCTTGAGTTTAAATCCTACAAGTTTGGTGTGTTATACTCGGCATCTTGTAGTTCTACACGCCTGACACACGCCGTTCTTGTAGTAGGCTACGGCCGTTCGAATGGCATGGACTACTGGATTGTCAAAAACAGGCAAGTTGAACATTAAAACGAAAACATCACGGAGAGTTATTTTTTTCATAATCTTTTCCTATCTGTGCCCCAGACACATGGGCCGCCTCAGAAAGCTCCCTCCACTGTTGTCGGTCACCGGCAATTAACTTGGTAGTCCCCCATAACAGTCCTACCTCTGCCAGCTGCCTCCACGTCTCCCTTGGCCCTCATTGCTTACTTTTTCATTGAGTTGTCTAGTTTAGTTATTCTAAGTAGTATATTAGGTCACTTTTGGTTATTATTTTTGGCGCAGGTGGGGAGGCGCAGGTACAATGACATATAGTAAAATACTCGGAGGCGCAGGCGCAGCCTGCCGCAGCCTGGTACAATGACATATAGTAAAATACTCCCAGCCTGGCGCATCGCAGGGTGAGCAGGATGCGCAGCCTGGTACAACGACATATAGTAAAATACTACGCCAACTGGGGTTGGCGCAGGTGGTGGGGAAGTAGGTCACCTTTTGGTGACCTTGTGACGTAATCATTGACCTTGTGACGTAATTAGTGACTTTGTGACGTAATCATTGACCTAGTTACGTAATTTTAATGCGTTTTTTAAATTAGTTTTAATGAGTTTTTAAAATTTTAATTAATTTTTATTATCGAGTTACGTAATTTTAATGTGTTTTTATTACGTAATTGTTTAATTTGTTTGATTTAAATTGTTTAATTTGTTTGTTTACTTGTTGTTTGATTTAATTACTTTGTTTATATTGTGTAATTTTTATTAACGAGTTACGTAATTGGATTTTAATTTTTAAATTTTAAATTTTATTTTATAATTAGTTTAATTTGTATTAACGAGTTACGTAATTGGATTTTAATTTTTTTAATTTTTAAATTTTTAAATTTTATTTTATAATTAGTTAAATTATTATTAACTAGTTACGTAATTTGATTTTAATTACTTTGTTTAATTTATTTATTTGATATATTTCTTTTCTCTGATGTATGGTATTTTAAAATAAAAGACTAACACTAGCCGTGTACTAGAACATTCATTAAAGATAACGATCAGGCGACAGCTGTGTTACTTATCGAGCCGCGATCCTTTGTTGACACACGCTGAGCGGTTTTTAATGGGGTTTATATTGATTCCACCCACGGGCCATCAAATGATGGCCTACCTAATTAAATTTGGTCACGCCTCGTGGGTTTATGCGTTGTTCGCCGACCCGATCACAGCAGGGGTTCCGCGTTTAATCGAAAGAGCTAAGTGGTTAACCACAAAACCCGCGTTAAGTGTGGGAACATCTGTTACCATGACACGCGCCTCGTAGTGATTAATGGGTTTTATATTGATCCCACCCACGGCACATCACAGCATGATGTCCCACCTAATTTTATTTTGTTATGCTTCACCGAGTTTCCCTGTTTGGTTTGATAGGTCATGATAATTAACGACGTACATTAAGTGCCTCTCCGCGTTAAGTGTGGGAACACCTGTTACCAAGCGGGTGGTGGTAAGGTGGTGGTAAGGTGGTGGTAAGGTGGTGGTGGTAAGCTGGTGGTAAGCTGGTGGTAAGGTGGTGGTGGTGGTAAGGTGGTGGTAAGGTGATGGTGGTAAGGTGGTGGTAAGGTGGTGGTAAGGTGGTGGTGGTAAGGTGGTGGTAAGGTGGTGGTAAGGTGGTGGTAAGGTGGTGGTGGTAAGGTGGTGGTAGTGTGTTGGTAAGGTGGTGGTAAGGTGGTGGTAAGGTGGTGGTAAGGTGGTGGTAAGGTGGTGGTAAGGTGGTGGTAAATTTGCTTAAGATTTTAAACTTCAAGTTTTAAAAATCAACAACGTTATAGTACGTCGTGTCAAATGACACACAGTTTAAAATGTCTACATTTAAATTTCACCAAAATAATGATGTATAAACTAAATATGATATGACGTTAGCATACATATCATTCAATCTAATCATTCTAAAGTACAAATCAATAATTTTTTATTGATTAAGGGCCGTGTTCATACTAGAGTCGGTGAAGTTTTCAACGAGGCAATATTATTTGTCTTTACAAGTTCGCTTTGTGCGTGTGTGTGTGTGTGTGTGTGTGTGTGTTTGAGTGTGAGTGTGTGTGAGTTCATACTCGGGTCGATGAAGTTTTCAACAAGACAGGTTTCAAATTCGGTCCATCCATGTCTTAGAGTCGGTTGGTGGCTGGTTTATACTAGGGTCGGTGAAATTTTCCCGATGCAATATTGTTTTTGTCTTTACAAGTTCGTTTTGTGATTGTGTGTGTGTGTGTGTGTGTGTGTGTTTGTGTGTGTGAGAGAGCTTTTTGGTTTGACTGAAAAAAGTTTGGTTTGCGGTGTATAACAGACACAGACGTTTTGACCGCGCAAGACTTCAAAGTTGGATGGGTTAAATGGTTGATTTTGATCCAGTCATACATCTTATACACGATACCGAGTTACATAACTTTCAGGGACAAGTAACAAAACAATAACTTACATCAATCATTTAAAAAAGACCGTTTATATAATAAGTTTTTTTATTGAATAAAAACAACCCCATCAGCATACAGTCATGGTTCTGTCTTATTTACATATTTACAGTAAAGTCTCGTTAAAGTCACGGTTGGTAAACTAAAAGGTCTTATATGTCTAGGGGAGATGTTGTGACATTGTCTGCGTCTACTTGTCTTTTAATGTAAAAGTAAGAAAGTGAGTTTCTGTGTTGGGTGTAAGTGTATATCCCCGTGTTGTATGCTCGGAACCCTGTGTTTGTCCCACCACTTGGTTCCTTTGTTGTGAGGACCTGCATGAAAGATTCTTTGCCTAGTGTGTTGTGATTTTTAGATAATCCCTTGGTTGATGTTTTATTATACTCGCCAAAACAGTGGTACGTCTTACTACATAAAGATACCATCCCATCCCCTTCATATTCTAATTTAAACAACCCCGGTGTTCTCTTTTCATAAATTTTCCTAGCCCTACACCCCAGACAATGACTATCTACCGTGCCTTTGCCGCTTATAAATTGTGGTCTATGTGAGTCACATACTTCTGAGGGGAACCATTTATCGTAAATGTCAAAAAACTCGTGTTCTAGTCCCGGTCTAACGGTTTTTATCAAATCATCGGTACTTAAGGCTAAGTATAAACTGTCCGTGTCCATCTCACATAGCTGAAAGTCGGTTCTATCTATATATTTGTCTATAAAGTCATAATAAAATTCTAACATTCTAAGTTTTGCGTACTGATAAACGAAAAAGCCTATCTGAAGAGGGAGATCCCAAACTATCTTCTTTTTTAACGTTTCTACTTCGTAAACATCGTCGGTAAGTTTTGTCATTTTTTTAAAGCGCGGATTATTGATACAATCCCCTATATCCCTAGCCCTACAGTAGGTCATGTCCGCATGTCGTGTTTTATCCGTCAAAGTTTTACCATATGCCGCGTTTCCTAACAATTTCATTGTTTCACTAGTTATCGCGTATTTATCGTCTATGTCCCCCTTTCTTCGCGCGTCTGAAACTGTATCCCCAAATGTCTTAAAACAGGAAACCGGATTATACTCAACGACTTGATAAATTTTAGTTACCACCAACCCATGATTTAAATACCACTTTAAAAGGGGGGTCGCTAATAAAATTTTCTCCCCTGTAAAGCTACCGATTAAAGTCCGTCTACCGCTAGTTAATAAGTTGTTATCGATCGCGTATTGTCTCATAAACGGTCCGATGTCATCGCGCGTAACGTCCGTATTTTTAAAAATCGGTGTCATCTCACTAAAATGTTCTCTTAAACTATCCGGTACTTTAATGTCGCATTCTATCAGACCAAAACACGAGTCGTCTAAAACAGAATCGATGATCTGTTTTTCAGTCAGGGGCCATTTCTTACCATAGGTCGGTGTCGGTGTCTTTTGTGATTTGTCAATAGAGTTTAAATAGTCTTTAATAGTTGGGTTCATTTTTTTCTGGTTCCCCCACTCACATTCCCACATTTCTACGACTTTAACGTCAACAGTCTCGGTAAGGTACTTCGTAATTTCGTTTGTCTTTTTAAATAAATCAGTCAAGGGTCTGTTACTAATGGGGTTTACTGTTCTGTCTTTAGTTAAGGGGCAGTCAGGGTGTCCATGAAAGAGACAGCCATGGAACTGATAAACGGTTCGAGTGTTCGCGTCCCACCCGTCTACTCTTATATGGCGGGATCCTAAGCTAACTTCGCCCCCGTTAAACGCGGTTTTTAAAGTTACCCCCTGTGTTTTTGAAACCCACGATAACCACTGAAAGGCCTGTTCCCCATAATGATTCGCTTTACGCGGTCTAAACCCCTCCTCACTATTTCTAATAATCGGAAATCCCGTCGGCATTTTTTGCATTAAAGACCATAAATAAAGCGCGTTCGCGTCGTACCCCTTAATTGCCTGTACCAACTTTTTACTATTCCCCCTAATGAACGTTTCACCCTTTTCGTGATGTCTATGAAAAATAATGGAGGGGCCCCCTACGATATTATTTCGGATTGTTTTATGTAACTCTGATTCGCGCTCGGAACACAAAGAAAAAGAAACGTTTTCGGGAAGTGTTTTAAATAAGTATTTTAAGGTTACCCCTGGGACAGAAATCGCGTCTTTAAAAATATCAACCCCTAAATTTTTGTAAAAATTAGTTTGCTGCTCGAGCGCTTCGATAAACGGTTTTACATCGATATTGTTATACCAAATAAGATAATCTTTAAAAGTTTGCATCCCCTTCTCTAACCAAATTTGGCTACACGTCGCGTACTCCTCGACTGAAATGTTACAATTTTTTAATGATGAAAAAAAGGCCGAATGCGGAGGTAAACACGTTTCATCTAAGACGGCTAAATTTTTTACATATTCGTACGGAAAAAATCCCTTGGTCTCTTTAACATTATACGCGGCAAGGTATTTACTATAGCTAAACCCCGGTGCTAGATAATTAACTATATCTAAGAACTTTAATTTATTTGTTGATATACACATAAAATTATTATTTCTTTTAACTACATATTTAAACGGTGTTTGTTTATCTTCTACGTCGTCTTCGTCATCGTTACAACTAGCTCTAGGTCCCTCCTCTAACCCCTCTTCTGTGTTTGAATAAGCTAAAAAGTACTGAATAAAATACGGCTTAACGAGATTTATATCATATTTTCCTGAATTAAACCCTATAACCGGCATTTGTCGCAAATACTCGTCTAATCTACCGCTAAGAAACCTATCAAACCCTTTGTCGTTCGACTTATTTTCACTACCCCTAGCTTGAGGTGGAAATAACTTCCTGATTTGCTTAAAAACAGGCTCGAACTGTTTTTTCAAAATTCCATAAGCTGCCTCGGCGATTATGTGGAGTCTGTCAATAACTCTAGTCACTAATTCTTGAGGGTCACCAGTCGAAATAAAACAGATGGGTTCGACGAACCCATCTACGTTTGAGGCGACAGAGCAAGACAAAGGCACGTGTTTGGCTACGCTTTTTGTAACTCTACCTAACGGGGGTAACTCGGTATGGTCGAAATAGCATTCGAAATCGTAAGTTGCTCGGAAGGGGTAAACAAAGTTACTATTTACATCTAACCCGTAGGACGCTAAAAACTCCCAGATTGTTTGCTGTGTGTGATAAACCCCTCCCTTATACCTATCTACGGGTTTCCCCCCATTACACCCTTTCACGTGTCTGTTCAATTGTTGAACGGTGGGCCATAATTTGTTACACACAGAACACGCGAAAGAGTGACCCGCCCCACCTATATTATTAATGTACATAAACTGATTTTGAAAAAATAAAAGATACACAGTCTCCCTAAACCTATCACGACTTCTAAGTTTCGGAGAAAGGATCTGGTTTTCGTCAAATTCAAAAATCTCTATATTTACACTAAAACAGGACTCTAAGAGGGGAATTTCGACCAACCTAACCCCGCTAAAATTATCCAAGGTCCCGAGACCTTGGTGCGCTTGCCACTGTTTCGCGAGTTTTAATGTTGGCTTTCTAAGATTTATTATGGATGCTCCTAAATGTGTGGCTAAACATCTAAAAAAGGAAAAATTGTCTGTGTAGGGTTTTGAATTTGAATCCTGTTGTAACATGTTAATGGCGTGATTATGTTTAATAAAGTCAGGAATGTCTGTAAGAAGGCATGTGGGTGAAGGTTTGTCTGTGGTCGGGTGTAAGTCTACTGCATCTCCCCTAAGGTCGTCTACAGGAAAAATAGTGGTGTGTGAATTAACGTTACTGTCATTGTTAGTTTTTACTCGTTTGTTGTTTGTTATGTCCTCATACGTCGTATGTCGTTTTAAAGGGCTAGTGTTGGTCGCGGTACGAACTGTTTGGCTCGCTGATGGGAGTTGGACAGTATGTGTGTCGATCACTAATGTGGGTTGGTGTGTTTTTCTATCGGTCACTAATGTGGGTTGGTGTGTTTGTCTGTTGGTCGCTGATGGGGTGTCGGTCGGTGATGTTTGGTTGTTGTGTGCTTTCGTAAAGTGTCTTGTCAAATTGTCAAGTCGTGTAAATACTTTCCCGCATGTTGTGCAGGGATGTCTTTGTCGTCCGTGTGCAGAGTCTTGGTGCCTTGTCAAATCGTTTCTGCGGGTGAAGACCCGGTCGCAGATCTCGCATGTGAAGCGCCTGATGGCTGGCTGGCTGGTAGGTTGGGTGGTTTGCATCTTGTTTTGTTGACGAAGTGTTGAGTGTGTGGAACTGTTGGATGCTTGGGTAGGTCGCTGACTGTAGAATAAAAATAAATACATAAAAAAAAATCATAAAATAAAAAACATACTTAAAACAAAATTGAAAATTGAAACGTACCTCTGGGTTTGAACGTCTAAGCTGAACGTGTAGTTAACTGTATGTGGAGATCCGAAGTGGTGTAGTTGGATGTAGTTGGAACGTTTGGTTCAGTGGATGCCTCAGGGATGGGTAGGTAGCTCAATAGGGTCAGTCGATGGAACAGTTGTGTCGGTTGTACACTAAAAAGAAAATTCAATTGACTACTTATTTAGATACATATTTATTTAAAGGTTATGTAAAGGATAATTCATACTATTAACCTTACCTCGGTGTGCGATACAAAAGTAAAGTAATTAATTAAAAGGTATTTGAATGGGGGTTAGCTCCCTTAAAACAATACGTACTATTAACCTTACCTCGGTGTACGATACAAAATTAAATACATGTGCGTACTTATTTAATAAGATTTGATTTTAATAGGGTTAGCGCCCTTAAAACAATACGTACTATTAACCTTACCTTGGTGTATGATACAAAACTAAAGTAAATACCTGTGACTACGTATTTAGAAAAAGGTTTAATTAAAAGAGGTTAGCTTCCTTAACACAAAAGTAATATTATCCTTACCTTTAATAGAATAAACACCCACAGAGTGCGGTCCGTGGTTGTTTAGGTAGATGTTGTGATTGGTAAAGCTGGCGTGGGTTAGTCTCGGGAGTCAACAGAGGTCGCAGGCTGGATAAGTCGCGGTGAAGTTTGGTTCGAAGTCCAAAGTTGAAGTGATTAGAACACAATTTTCGCGGTCATTTATACGGTTGGGCAGCGTAATTACACCACCAGCTGTCGCACAACAGCTGTTGCATAATGACCTACGTGCTTCGCGGAGAGGCACTTAATGTACGTCGTTAATTATCATGACCTATCAAACCAAACAGGGAAACTCGGTGAAGCCTAACAAAATTTAATTAGGTGGGACATCATGCTGTGATGTCCCGTGGGTGGGATCAATATAAAACCCATTAATCACTACGAGGCGCGTGTCATGGTAACAGATGTTCCCACACTTAACGCGGGTTTTGTGGTTAACCACTTAGCTCTTTCGATTAAACGCGGAACCCCTGCTGTGATCGGGTCGGCGAACAACGCATAAACCCACGAGGCGTGACCAAATTTAATTAGGTAGGCCATCATTTGATGGCCCGTGGGTGGAATCAATATAAACCCCATTAAAAACCGCTCAGCGTGTGTCAACAAAGGATCGCGGCTCGATAAGTAACACAGCTGTCGCCTGATCGTTATCTTTAATGAATGTTCTAGTACACGGCTAGTGTTAGTCTTTTATTTTAAAATACCATACATCAGAGAAAAGAAATATATCAAATAAATAAATTAAACAAAGTAATTAAAATCAAATTACGTAACTAGTTAATAATAATTTAACTAATTATAAAATAAAATTTAAAAATTTAAAAATTAAAAAAATTAAAATCCAATTACGTAACTCGTTAATACAAATTAAACTAATTATAAAATAAAATTTAAAATTTAAAAATTAAAATCCAATTACGTAACTCGTTAATAAAAATTACACAATATAAACAAAGTAATTAAATCAAACAACAAGTAAACAAACAAATTAAACAATTTAAATCAAACAAATTAAACAATTACGTAATAAAAACACATTAAAATTACGTAACTCGATAATAAAAATTAATTAAAATTTTAAAAACTCATTAAAACTAATTTAAAAAACGCATTAAAATTACGTAACTAGGTCAATGATTACGTCACAAAGTCACTAATTACGTCACAAGGTCAATGATTACGTCACAAGGTCACCAAAAGGTGACCTACTTCCCCACCACCTGCGCCAACCCCAGTTGGCGTAGTATTTTACTATATGTCGTTGTACCAGGCTGCGCATCCTGCTCACCCTGCGATGCGCCAGGCTGGGAGTATTTTACTATATGTCATTGTACCAGGCTGCGGCAGGCTGCGCCTGCGCCTCCGAGTATTTTACTATATGTCATTGTACCTGCGCCTCCCCACCTGCGCCAAAAATAATAACCAAAAGTGACCTAATATACTACTATTCTATACTCTCATTAAATATATTCTTCTTTTTTTAGTTGGGGCACCGGATGGGGCGATTCCGGCTACGTGTTGATGTCCAGGAACAGGAACAATAACTGTGGGATCGCCACACAAGCCTTCTACCCAGTTGCAGGCGGCAATACAGCTTTAGGCGATACAGGAAACGCTGCCGTGCTCAATGAAACAAACCTCAGAATTTTACTTCTAGCTTTACTACTTGCATACAGAAGCATAGTGTTTATTTTTTAATCATATAACTTACCAGTGAATATATAAAAAATGGGTTTGTATAATAAATTTAGTGCCCATTAGTAGCATTTGATGTAGTGTTGGTGTATTGCAAGGTATCAATTAATGGGAGTAGTAAAGCATTTAAATGCATCTTGCTTAACAAATAGGAAAAAACTGACCAAGATGTACATCTTCATTTACTTTATGGTGTTTTTAATTACTCTCTGAAGAATTTTTATTTGGGTCATTTTTTTAATTATTTCACAGTCTTAACTATTTGAATAATTTTTGGTTACGTTTTGTTTTTATTTGACATTAAAATAATAAAAAGTGATAGTGGAATATAACGGTGATCTTAATTAAACTCATTTGTTGGTTTGTTTTTGTAAGTTGTAAGTTTTTTTGGGTTACTAGTATAGCTCTCTACCGCTAGGCCATGCCGTCCCATACATCGTGGCATGATCGCATAAAAATTGTTACTATTTAAACTGTTATTACTGTATTGATTATTATTTAATTACAGCTTTCTTCCCCAATTAGGTGAGTAAATTACTTAGTAACAGCTTTAAATTTAAATTCCCTCTCTTCAGCGTTTGGAGAAATATTTTTAGTAATTTAGTTATTTATTTTACCTTTCATCTAATGTTAGAAAGCATCGTACAGAGATATATAAAATATTACTGCACTTTGTTTTTCTGTATTCTTGTTTCTGCTGCTTATTTTTTTAAAAGAGGCTGACATAAAAGACTTACAAGTATTTGAAATTATTTTAAATAAAGATGCTACAAGCAATTTATCCAAAAATGATGTTAATCGTTATTGTTTTGTCGTTGTTTGGGTATGGAGATAATTTGTAAAGAGAACTAGAAAAATTATATTACGTAATATTGGTTTAGAAGATTTGTAAAAATGTCACATTTTCCTGTTTTAAAATGTATGCCATCAAGAACTGTAAACTGTACTTAGATCTACATTTCATTTAATTTTTTTCTCAATATCATTGTTCGTGTTTTAGCGTCACAACAGGAAATACTGCCCTAGATTCGCGAGATAACTAATTTTTTTTATTCAACAAGACACGAACAGACGCACTGGAGCTCTGATTTAAGTTTGCATACACACTGTTAAATGTTGATGGGTCCATGGGGGTTGGGGGTGTGGAGGGAAGTAGTGGCGACCGACAGCCGCGGGGGTGCATTATCCAAGGAATTCAGTCATATTCTCATGTGCTAGTTTGGTTCACGTTTTGTTTTTATAAAACAAATATTTAAAAATGTATGATAAAAAGCAATTGTTTTAAAATAATAAAACGAACGGTTTCTGTATTAAAACCATTGGATGCAAAAATGTGTAAAAGATTTGATGTTGATGAAAGCATGAAAAAAATCGCTGCGTTAGAATTGGGGTAAAAATTGAGTTACAAGATTTGCGACAAACCCACAAACAAACAAAAAAATTAACATTGTAGACTAGAAAAGCTTATGATAAAAATGAATTGCATTGACAATTCAACAAACTGGTAAATAAATGTCCCTCCGGTATTCCAAAGTCAATGTCGCTTCCCGAAAACGACACTTTAAGATTTTAGCACTGCTGCTAGTGCACAATTGACTACCGGAAGTGTAGTTGTCTTTTATTCAGACCCTTTACAGTTACCCTAGACTGCACAAGTATGTGCTGTGTACGTCACTCAATCTGACCTTGAGTTTAACATTTCTAATGTTATGGTTTCAGGTTACATTTTCTGAATTCACTTAACCCACTTTTAAATCTAAACTATACAACGGTTATGATTGGATAAACTTTGTAAATATGAATGTCAAGCTAGCGTTTGGTGCAGATTACAATTACTTGAAGTATATCATCCTACTGCATGGGCAGAGAAAAGCTGTTCTTGTTACAAAAAAAGATTTTTAAAACAAAGAACTTATCACAAAAATATTTTTCCCCATAGTAACGTCGCATCTCATAATACCGGTTTATATGTAGGTGTGAGTCATTTTATTGTAGACAAGTCAAGCTTTTAAAAGATCACTAAAGGTAGGTTATTATTTTTTTTTAAATGTGTACCCAATTCAACAAGACAAAATCTGGTAAGATAATCCAATGTCTTTTTTAAATTGTAATGTGTAATTCACATCTGTACGTGTTAGAAAAATGTTAGATGTTTGAGTTGTTTGAATTTCGTTTTGTCCTCTTCGCATGATGAGCATCACTTGAGGCCTTGTGTAACTCGAGACTGGCTGTGCAAAAAGAAGTCTATACAATTATTTTTATTAAAAACATAACTTAAACTCATTTTAAATAGATGTTTAGTTTTGCAAACGTGGAGTTTAGAGTCGTTCCACCTAAGACATGTTACTCCAAGGTATGTATTGGGGAAATATATTTTAGTAAATTAGTTTTGTTACTTTCAATATATGTTAGAAGGCGTGGTTCAGATATATGTAATATATTACTGAACTCTGTTTTTCTGTATTAGTATTTCTGTTGTTTGTAAAGAAGCTAACATAAAAGTTATAAATCATCTTTATTTTGGGAAAAAAACACGTTGCCTGTGGTAAGTATTCTTGTAAACCAGAGATTGAGTGGAAACGTTTCGCTGTAAATTTGTTTAACTCACATATGACGTGGTTTTGTATGTAAATCATACGACGCTGAAATGTTTCAGATGGTCAAGCACGGTATCTTATGTCTCCTGCTAGCTGCATGTCTAGCTATGGCTGCAGCTACGACACAAGAAAGATGGGAGCTGTACAAACAAAAACACAACAAAAACTACCCGGAACATTTGGAGCGCATCAAGAGAGAGATCTGGAGATCAAACGTGGAACTTATAGAAAAACATAACGCGAGGTTTGCTCGTTCTTTGGAGAACTACACACTAGGCGAGAACCAGTTTACAGATGAGGTAAGAACTTGTTTGCTGATGAGGTAAGAACCAGTTTGCTGATGAGGTAAGAACCAGTTTACAGATGAGGTAAGAACCAGTTTACTGATGAGGTAAGAACCAGTTTACTGGTAAGGTAAGAACCAGTTTACTGATGAGGTAAGAACCAGTTTACAGATGAGGTAAGAACCAGTTTACTGATGAGGTAAGAACCAGTTTACTGGTAAGGTAAGAACCAGTTTACTGGTAAGGTAAGAACCAGTTTACTGATGAGGTAAGAACTCCCGAAACTCCCAGCGGCAGTAGACTGGCGCTATAAAGGATACGTCACACCCATCAAAGATCAAGGCGAGTGCGGATCCTGCTGGGCTTTCTCGGCTGTGGGGTCATTGGAAGGTGAACATTTCAAGGCCACTGGTCAACTGGTCAGCCTGTCTGAATCACAGCTACTTGATTGTTCAATGATGTGGGGTAGGTTTTTTAAACACTTCTCGAATTAGTTGAATATTCTTTGCATCTCATTACTGGATATCTAAAGACAAAGAGGGATTGTCTTGAGTACATTTTTAATGGGAAAAATGTGTTATATGAAATTTATTTTAAGCAGAATCGATCGCTTATAGATTTAGTAATCTGTTTTTTCAAGGTAGCGATGGCTGCGATGGCGGTAAGATGACCCAAGCATTTAATTTTATTAAAGATGACGGAGGAATCGACTCGGCCGAAAACTACCCATATACGCCGGAAGTAAAAGTTTTAAGAAGAACTACATACTAATATTGAAGCGTTTTATCAATTTTGTGTGTTATAATTTTCATCACGACTCATGCATTTTAGCTAATTTAAAAAAAAAAATTAGAGTTTAAGTGACTGTCTTTTCATATTTTTATCCCATATTTTCTTGTTTATCCTTTTTAGGAAAACTTCTGTCAGAATGTAAGAAAACCAGTCGCCGCTACAGTCAATGGTTACGTGTGTATACCAAAAGGGGATGAAGATGCTCTAAAAGAAGCGGTCGCTACTGTAATTATAATTATAAAAAGATAATATAATTCGCACTTTCGTTGCCAACTCTGATAGTAATTTTTACTTCCTTCCTTCCTTATACGGAAACCGGCTCAGAAGGTTCACTTCCATTAGCCAGGCAGGCCTCAGTGTGGCAAACCCTGAGAGAGTTTACCACACCTCGGTCGCTACTTCCGTGGGCTCTCACCGGGCTTTCCTTCCCCACCCACCAGACGCAGGACGTCTTCCTACCGCCTGGTACCCAGCTTGATCGTGGGGGGCATTCCGCCAGATCAAAACCCTCTAGCTGCTGTTATCTGCCACTGGCCATTCCGCACCCACTAGGGGGGGGGGGACATGAGTTTGGTCGGACCAGTGGCATTATTCCGAAGCCCCGTTAAGGCCGCCGCTTAAAGTCAAAAGAAAGATCTGGCGGCGGACTATTTTGGTTCCCGGCAGTCTTGCACCTCTCCTCCCCACGCTATTATGTGGGGGACTTGGGAGTCCGACGTACGAGGCTCTTCGGAAGAGCCGAACGCATACAGCAGTTCTACTCGGCCAGATCAAAAACCTCTAGCTGCTGTTGGCTACCACTAGCCATCCCGCACCAACTAGGGGGTCATGGGCTTGGTCCGACTAGTGGCACACATCCGAAGCCACGTGAAGCCCGCAGCATAAAGTCAAGACATCTGGTTAGGGTCGAGAGCAAAACCCTTCTTGGTTCCCGGCAGTCTTGCACCTCTCCTCCCCCACGCTATTTAGAGCAGGCAACGGAGATTTGCCCGTCTAGTGCGGACAAATCTCCTGGCTCGTTATCATGTAGGGGACTTGGGAGTCCGACGTACCAGGCTCTTCGGACAGTAATTTTTACTAAATCTTCAGTTGTGCTAATGTAACAGTGTTGTATAAACTTGGGTATGAACACCGAGATTCCAGTTATCCACCCTAACTAACGCTTCAAATCTAGGCCCATAGCAGCAAGGATAAAAATCGAACATTTATATGACCTGGGTTGCCAAAAATTATAACCGCCCCCACCCTCTCACCCCATCATCTTTAGGGAAGGGGAATGAAAACAGGGTATCAAGGCTCAGAAATAACGTATGTTCTAATACACTTTCTCTCTATTTTCTTCATTATTTGATAGTGACTCACCAATTATTTACATTTTATTTTGCACTAGATTATCACGTAGTCTTTGTATTTCCGTTAGATTGGTCCAATCAGTGTTGCCATAGACGCCGATGATCCAACCTTTGCCCTGTACAAAGACGGTGTGTACTACACACCAAACTGCAGCTCCAGCACATTGACCCACGCCGTGCTAGTGGTTGGGTATGGGACATTGAAAGGCCAGGATTATTGGCTTGTGAAAAATAGGTTCGTGCATGAGAACATTTTTACTTTAATACACTTCAAATTTTAAAAATCTATTGGTTCTTTATTATTTTTATCATTTCAATTATAAATATTGGAACACTTTCTATAAATTTCACTTTCGAAAATCAAATCCAACGCTCCTCCAAAGACCAGCTCCTTAACTGAATACACATCATTTTATTTAAATCCTCGAGTTAATCTTTAACAAAACGTTGTTTTTTTAACCCCCCCCCCCCCCCCACCTGTTTTAGTGGCGTTCAAGATTGAATAACTACATACCCATCCCATAACAAACAACGTTCAAACTGATTGTTAGGAATATATTTATCTATTCAACAATTTGTGTATTTTTCATAGAACCAGTGATTTCTAATCAGCTTAAAAGGTAAAAAAAAAATGTTAAACTTAATTAATGGCTGATAAACCCATAAGTCCCATCTGGAAGTGAAAACTCCAAACTGAAGCTACTACTGTCTTGCAGTTTGTTCTTGATTGACAAAATCTATGGGAGCAAATCCAGATAGAAAAGCAGGCTGAAATCGGCGTAACTACCAATTTAGCACATATAAAGTTGACACGTAATTCTTATTTGTTTTGGAGAAAATCTCTTCGAACATTACAATTAAGAATGATGAACAAGAAGAAATAACTTGTATTTATTTTCTATCATTAAATGATTTACTTGCTGTGTTTGTTTTTCAGTTACGGAACGACCTGGGGCAAGAATGGATTTATGTTGCTTGCCAGGAACAGAGACAACCACTGCGGCGTTGCTTCCAATGCCGTTTATCCTCTGGTCGGGGCTTATGGAGGTCAACACAACAACGCCGACTCGGTGATTGTATGGAAGATATGTTTCTGTCTCTCTTTGTTGTATCTTGTTGTCTTCAGACTGTAGTGCTAAATGCATGTAGAAGAAAAACATGCTGTTTATAAGTAGAACGTGTCGGTGAAAATGTTCTTACCATGTATAAAACATATTTTATAAATGAATATCAAAATAAAGCAGAAACTAATAAAATAATAATGTGTATTTTTCGCATGGTATTTATTTCTGTAAGCTACACTTTTCACAAACGCTTATTTGATTAAATCCCTCTTTTATTTTTATACTTTAAATGTAAATAAAATGTTTTGCCATTAAATGTTTATAAATACAAATAAAATAAGAACATGCCATGTACTTATGTTATCTTTGTGTATTATATTTTACTTTATATTGTATGTGTTCTTGTTTTATTTATCTATCTATCTTTAAACTACTAAAACTCAAGTTTGTTTACATGTTAGAATTTTTTTTTTGTTTGTCTCTTTATACTACTAAAACTCAAGTTTTTGTATACATGTTTGAATATTTATTTGTTTTTTTTTTGTTTGTCTGATTGAATAATGTAGAGAATCTGCTCTATGTATAGAGTTGTAAAATAGTATGTAGGTAGAGAACAATTTTTGTTTTCAGACAGACTGTTTATCACTAATTTATTTAAAGACGTTAATTAAATTTATTGATTTATTCATTGGTAGATTAACCACATTAATTTTAAAAGTTTAGAAAAACGACTTTACTTTGAGTGAATAGTGACGTCACATGATTTGTTTACTTTTTAGTACAATAAATGGCGGCTCCAATACAAGATTTCGTATCTTATTCAGATCATTAACGCGTTATAAAGCTAATTGTCGGCTATAACGTCTACAATACGTCCGTTTGCTGTTTTTATTACGTTTCAACACTTATATCAATTTTCAGCTGTCTTTTTCATTTAGTTTTACAATAAATGTCTCTAGCTCTACAATCTGTCCAAGAAAGTTATTTATAGATCTAGCTCTAGAATCTAGATCAAACCAAAGATTAATTAGTTAAAAATACAATCCATTTTAAAATCATAATACATTTTTGAGTTTCTTTATTAAACTACTTTACTCCTTAAATACTTTATATAAGTCTTTGTGATTTATCTATCTAGATCTAGAATAGGTCTAATTTAGATCTAGCAAGAGTTATGCAAAAACTAGACTTAAACAAACGAGTCGTAGAATATCGATAATTCTATCTAGATCTAGATAATAATGAGTTTCTTTACTAAACTATTTCAGACCTTCATTATTTTATATAAATCTTTGTTTATTTGGCTATGGAATAGGCTACTTTAAGATAAAATTTAATTTGAAAGTTACTAGATTTAGATCTAGATCTAGATAGGGCCTATGCGCGTAAATCAAGTTGCATAAGGAGACTCAAAGTATTATTATATACCACAAAAAAAAACATCAGTGACGTCACGAGTCTAGATAGCTAAGTTGTTAGTGTAATAGGCTTTTATGCGGGTGGCACGGGTTCTACACACATCACGTTAATGTTTTTTTTTAGATGTGAATGATAAAGTTGCCTATCTGAACTTGGCGGGATAGAGAGCAGGTGAAGTAGAGTTGAGTAGCTTATCTGCGACGTCAGTATATGAAGGGATAGTGTGGTCAGACCCATGTTCAGCCGAAATCGGTGTTTTTAAAAGATAAAAAACGTCTTTTTTTTATGTGGGGTCTGGTTATTTTGTGATGTCACAGACGTTATGTCATTTATGGATGACCCCCGAAACCCACAGTCATCCAAGGGATGACGGGTAAGTCTAGTTATTTACTAAAAAAGTGTCGTGGTTTGAATATTAGGAAAGGGAAAGTGTGTTAGAAATGTCATATAACGTTATAAGGGGCAAACGTGTGAGTTAGAAATACTGTATAAGCATTCACGATTCATAATTGTAAACTGTGTTTTCATTTTTCTGTGTCTTTTGTGTGTTTTATAAGCTCGGCAACAGGAAACTCTACCTTAGATTCGCGATAACACTCAACAGTTGTATTCCACAAGGCAAGGATAAAATCGTTGGAGCGAGGAGCTCTGGCTTAATTTTTATACACATTGGTAGTGGGGGGATGTTTTCATCCGAAATGGGTGGAAATGAGATATCTCTTCCCTATTTTTACCGAGCCGTTATATTTCAAATTTTACAAGTAGGTTAAGGTTTGATGTCAATGTAATATGTCCATAATTTGAGTTATTGAACAATGCTGTATAAAATACAACGAGTATCGCGATGTCACATACTATTTCAGTACGCTTAAGTTTCTTGGTTATACAATTGTCTTAATATTTAGTAGTAAAATATTATGAATTATAAAAACCTTTATTATAATTTTTTGTGTACACTAAAAATTAGAAAATTTTAGATTTTATAACTAGACTATATTACTATGTAAGAAAAGTACATATGATACTTGGTAAGTAAAGTAAAGTTTCCTTTGAAACATGACCGCCCACTGGGCAAAAGAAATAGAGTTCACCTGTTTCTGTGACCGCCACATACGTCGTAGACATTTATATTGATAGACGTGTCTGATAGAAAATCTAGGTACCATTTTTATTTCAAAACACATTACAGCTACAAACTCTTTTCTTCGTAGTAATAAAACATTTTTATATTTTTAAAAATCTGATTGCTTTTTTCTGTTTTCGTGTGTGCACATTCGAAATATGTTTTAATAACAAGCTTTTATGTAATAATGCACTAAAAATAGAAAATAAATTATACACTACTCTTTAAATTACTATAAAGAAAAGCGTGTATACCCTCTGGTTGGCAACAATGGCTAACAAAGAATGATGGGAGGTGATCTATGTTTAAACCTCTCTTTGTTGTTCCTTGTGGTCGTCAAACTTTTGTGTTAAATTCAAGCGAAAACTACTACAAGCCGAGAAAGATAATGGAAATTATTGTTTATGTAATTTGTAAATCATCATTACAAATAACTTCAAAACTGAACTCACGCTGTAATCACGAGTGTTGTTATGCTATATTAATGTTACACAATGAACGGATTTTTTTAAATTAAAAAATATCATGCTTGTTGTGTCATTATTTGTAATAATCTATTTCTTTTGAACTTTTTTTATTTTTATTTTTTTTTAAAGGTTAGCAACTCCAATCGATGTGCTTGGAACAATAATTGCAGTTATCTGCACTTTTCTTCAAACTTTGTGGAAAGCGGGTTGTGTGTTAAAGCGTTCGTTTAAATTTAATCATTCTTCGATTTTCTGAGTGAGCTTATGCTGAATCTGAAGCGCAATTAATAATTTCATACACAACTATCTTTTAAAGAAAGTGGGGTTTTAAAATTGTCATTGTCCGACAAACATTAAGCAGTGGAATTCAAGAAAATATATTTAATTTTCCAATGTACCATTGTGTTCCGTAGGGCAGATGAAGAAGAGTTTAGCTGTTTATGTGGTCTAGGCAAATGAAGGAACAGTTTGGTCAGCACTATAACCAGGTGAATTTGTTTTTACAATCATAAATCAGGTACCCATCTGAGCTGGGTCAGCTCACAGCTTTTATTATTTTATTATAGATTTCTTTTAGTTAAGATAAGTAAATTATTTAGTTATAGTTTTAAATTTAAATTCCTTCTCTTCAACGCTTTAGTAATATATTTTTGTTACTTTTCATTTTATTATAGATTGCGTGGTACCGAGATATTATTAGAATCTATTTTTACTTTCTCGTATATACGAAGTATAGAGAAAGTAGGCCCTATAGAGAAAGTCCCTTAATCGTGCAAAAAAAAATCGAGATGTTTGCAAATCTCGACGTTTTACACCTCACTGATACGGAAAAACATAATTTTGCAATCTTGTCCGTATGTCTGTGTGTCCGAGTGTGTGTCTGTTGTGTGTGTGTTTGTAAACACGATAACGTTACAGCTAGGTTGATGAAATTTTATATATAAGTATTTTATCAAAATCGTAGATCCGTATAAACTTTTGAGCGATTTCCGGTAGCTGGAAGTGGTTCTTTTTCTACTTTGAAATTTTCAAAAGCCTATAACTTGACTACTGTTTCAGATAGATAAATGAAATTTTCACATGTAAGTAAAAGATCTAATTCTCTACCTTCTGTCAAATTTTCAGTAATTACCGTTTACCGGAAGTACTAATTTACGCTATTTTCGATTTCTCAATTTATAAAGTACTAATAATATTGCGCAATTCTTTTTTCTATGATATTCTATTCTATTTACTAAAGTTTAAGTATTTAAAATGGATTAAAAATCATAACTATGTCCCGAGTTCCCATCCCCTATTGTTTTATATAAGAATATTCGAGAAAGTTTAGGGGGGGGGGGGGGGGGGTCACTCCCAGTTTATTTTAAATTCTTATTTCTGATGCTTATCACTATTTGTAAAGAGGCTGAAATAAACGGCGTGCCAGTTGTCGTTGTTTTTTTATATTATATATATATAAAGTTTTGAAATTATTTAAAATAAATATGTAATTCGTGTTTTGGTTTGTCGTCGTTTGAGAGTGGTGATAATGTAAAGAGAGCAACAAATGTTATATTACGTATATTGGTTTAGAAGATGTTTAAAAATGTCACATTTTCCTGTTTTAAAATACATGCGATCGATAAATATAAACTGTATTTTCGTTATAAATAAATATATTACAATCTTTTATTTAATTTGCAACGTCTGTTTGTTTGTTGTAACTCAATTTCGATCCACATTTAATGCTGCGATTTCATTCAAACTTTCCAGATTCGTTCCACTTCGATGACAATACAAGACTATTTATTTTTTAATTTTATTCGACGTTTAATTATTCATTAATTAAACGGTTTTGAAACTATTGGGAGATAATAAAAGAAGGGGAGATAAGGTATATTAACTAGCTAGATCACCGTAACAGTCTTGTTGAGCTGTGGCTCACGCCGAATGTTTACAATCGTAGAGACGGTCGATCTAGTAAAGGCTATTAGGGGCAGATAATAAAGTTTTTAAACGATTTGTAACTAGAAGGAGATTACAAAACTTAGACCTTGCTGTCGCCTAAAAAATATGGTCACGGACGGCTGCTTTCACGGGGTAGACAATCGTCTTTTAGATATCGCGAGCTACTGATGATGTATTAAAGCAAATATTCTTAATCGTGTCGACGTCATAAATTAGGAATCACGAAAAATTAGAAATTAAGCAAATATAATAAACCTTTATAACAACACGCTTCTAAATGCACTGAAAATAAGAAAATGAAACTAATTTGCTTTTTATATGTTTTCTTAATTGTCTATACCATTTTCTTTTTCTATTTCGTTAGATGGGGAGGGCGTTAGGCGT